CACCACAAAAAAAGGTCCTCCAAAGTAGAGAAGGGAGAGGTTTAACATGCCATGGGGTTGTTAACCAATTTCATAAAACAATATGTGTACTGACTGTTTAATGGGAAGCTGCTCTGTAAACCTTGATCTAAAGTACAATAAAAAAAAGTTAAAAAAAAAAGGTCCTCCAAGGTCAAGAAGGGAGAGTATTGACAGTGTCGTGGGAAATGTTATAAAACAGTATGTGTACTGTTTAATGAGAAACTATTTGTTCTGTTAACCTTCATCTAAAGTACAATAAAAAAGAAAAATCCATTGCCCTCGAGCCGACGCTGATGCATAGTCACCCTATAGGACAGAGTAGAACTACCCCATAGGGTTTCCAGGGCTGTAAATCTTTACAGAGGCAGACTGCCACATATTTCTCCTGTGGAGCCCCTGGTGGGTCTGAACCACTGACCTTTTGGTTAGCAGCCGAGCATTTAACCACTGTGCCACCAGGGCTCCCATATGTATACCTTGAATGAGCTCATAGTGAGTGGAAGAAATTACTGTATTGAAATGTTTACAGTGAAGGGACATTGAAAGAGGAGCTATTGATTGCTGCTAATGACAGAGAAGTCTTCAGTAATGAGGAGGTAGTTGAATAGTCTTGAAATATAGGTAGGTATTCATGTGGCAGATTGAAAAAAATGGAGGGAGAAGGAGGAGGATTCTAGACAGAAAAACGTAAGCAAAAGCACAGTGATATGATATTGCATAGTATGCCCAAGCAATTGTAATTAGACTGACGAAAAGGGTATGCATCAGAAAGCAGCAGGAGGCAGGTTAGAAAGGTAGGCAAGGACCAGCTCACAAAGGGCCTTGTATACAAAACCTGAAAGTTTGTATGCTTTTCCAGTAGATGGCAGGAGCCTTTGAATTAGAAACTTTGAATAGATTCTAACGATCATGAAGAAAATCAGAAGTTTGAAAAATAAAGTTTGTGTGGAGAGGTTAAAATAACTGGAATTGTTTAGGTTAGAGAACAGGACGGATGAGAAAGGAATTTTCACTCTGTGAGAAGTTGTTATACAGAGCATAAACCAAAAACAAACAAACAAACAAACCCGTTGACATCGAGTTGATTCTGACTCAGAGCGACCCTATAGGACAGAGTAGAACTGCCCCATAGGGTTTCCAAGGGGCGCCTAGTGGGTTTGAACTGCCAACCTTTAGGTTATCAGCCGTAACTCTTAACCACTACACCATCAGGGCAAAGTAGCAGAGCATAGTGACCAGTTATTTTCAGTTCCACTGAGAACAGAGCAAGAAGAAATGTGCTTAAATCTCAGCAGAAGGGGAAATTACCTACACAAGGGATCCTTCACAGAAAGATTGAATGTGACTGATGTAGATAATTTAAATGTTGTTGTCTGATATGCTCTGACTATGTGCTGAGTTCTGTGCACTGAAACAGCCTGATTTCAAATACATGGCCAAGACTGCAGATTTTCAGGCTTGAATGAAAATGTTTGGAATTAAAAACATCTTATGTATCAATTAGTTATTCAGCTGTTTTGCTATCTATGTGACTAAAGTTTTAGAAATGTACTTAAAATGTCAAATGTATGAGTAGAACTGCCCCATAGGGTTTCCAAGGAGGAGCTGGTAGAGTCGATCTGCCGACCTTTTTGCTATCAGCTGATCTCTTAACCACTGCACCACTTGGGCTCCTTCATAATATAGCATTTATATTTATTAAACTAAAAGAGAAGTGATCAGAATTAGCTATATAAGTAAACATTGTTCTATTAAAGGTATTTTATATTCATGTACCATTTCAGAAAGTTATTAAAGATTAGGTAGATACAATTAATAGAAATTCAGGTATTAATCTTTATGTGTATCATTAATTGGTCAGATGATGGTTACAATTAAAATTTCTGTATGGTTTATTAACTGATGATACTTAGGCAATCTGTGCAGATATTTAAATATTTGATGTTAATGTAAAATTAACATGATTTCACGTTAAGCAGATATAAAATAGAAATCAATTTTATTTCTTAATAAGTGAACCCTAATACTTTGGAAGTGATTTTGTATATACTCAAATTATATTACTTTTGTTCTACCCCAAGGGATGTATATATTCCACTAGTCAGAGCAAAATAGGGCCTGAAAAAGAGAAAATGACTGTTGTATGAATTGGGTAGAAGTGGTAAAAGAAACTGAAGACATGTTAACACAAAGCATATAAATTTTAATAAATGAAAGTTATTTCATCTTATATTATAATAGTATATATTTATTTTAAAATGATTGGTCTGAATGTCATACCAAAAAAACCAAATCAAGTCAGTTGTCATGGAGTCGATTCTGACGCATGACAACCCCATGTGTGTTAGAAGACAACTGTGCTTCATAGGGTTTTCAGTGGCTGATTTTTTGGAAGTAGATCGCCAGGCATTTCTTCCAAGGCACCTCTTGGTAGACTCAAACCTCCAAACTTTCAGTTAGCTGACGAGTAGTTAACCATTGTGCCACCCAGGGATGCTCTAAGGGTCATACACATATAGAAACAACCATGTATTTTCTCACAATTTCCTACCAGTTTGAAATACTAAAATAACTCTGTGTGTGATGTTTTTAAAAAAATAATTATTGCAATACAGATTTAGCAATTTGTCTCCCAGACCAACTAAGATATTTCTCAGCTTGACAAAACAGGCCCTTTCCCACGTTTGCCCAAGCTTTAAAGGGAATATTAAGATTCTGAGAAGCACATGAATACTCTGTCTACAACCCTTCTGATTTCAACAAAGATACTTAGATATTTACCTGAAGTGTTGTTTTCTTTATCCTTTTTAAATGTAACCATTCTACTACATTTCTGAACAGAAATTAAATTTTCAATGGACCTGATTTTAAATAAATATTTATTAATAAATAAAAACAACTATTTCTGTAAACTAAACACTCATAAGTATGCATGCCAAAAGCTGAATAGTTTTTTAATGCCAAACAATATACCTTCGTTAAAGAAAAAAAGCATAAAATGACATGAGCACAATGCTGTTTTCCTGTTTTTGTATTTTCCTTTCCAGTGTTGATATGTGTGTACAATTTTTATTTTAACAAATCATAATATACTTGTGCAATTTGTTCTAAAAAACACAGGTTTTTGCTGTTGTTTTGTGTTGGTTTTTTTTTTTTTTGTATTTGTCTCTGTAGAAGTCATAAAATAGAGATCATTTTCCTTTCCTTTAGGTATACCTTTTATTTTCCCTAAGCACCAAATATTTTTAGGATTTTTAGTCAGTTTGTAAGAAAAATGAAAATGTTAATTGCCTTATTATTTGGAATGTCCAGCATACTCTGAAAACAGTGTACTTTCTCAACATATATTATAGCACAGTAACCCGAAGTAAAGACTTCACTTTAGGAAAGTCAACCCCCCAATGATTCCTCTACAGCTGCATTCCTTACTTAAGACAAACTGGCCTTGAGATTTAGATTGCTTTTTGTTCTTATAGTTTGTCCTTGAATGTTGTCATTTCAACCTTGTACTTAAAAGTGTTTGGGGGATCAGCATGATAATGTAAGATTTTAAATATTTTATTATGTAGGATAAGGCAATCTGAGAAATTCTAAAATAAATAAGTGTGACAGCTTGAACTGTCAAAGGAGCCCTGGTGGGACAGTGGTTAAGAGCTCCACTGCTAACCAAAAGATTGGCGGTTTGAACCCACCAGCTGGGAGAAAGATACAGCAGTCTGTTCCAGAAATATAACAACCTTGGAAACCCTATGGTGCACTTCTACTCTGTCCTATAGTGTCGCTATGAGTCAGAATCAACTCGACAGCAACGGGTTTGCTTTGGGTTTTTGAACTATCTGCATCATGCCTTCAGTGGCTGTTTCTTTTGAACCTTTAAAACTAATATTTCTTTTATTTTGTTCATATGATTGGAACTGAAATAGTTGTTAAAAAGCTGTAATACAAAACAGATTCAGTATGGGCGTGATTTATTAAATGCTGTTTGTTTGTTTGTTTTTCTTATTCACTAAAACAATAAGGATTAAATTACTGTGCAATTACCTAAATATCCTCTGCAGCCTTTTCATAAGGCTGTTTGTGAAGAATACTCATTTGTTCTAAACCGACTAATCCTTAAAGCTGAAAACTCCAAATCAGTTTGAACATCAGTGGACAAACCCATCATCTAAGGATTATAGAATTAAAACATCTAATAGATTGAGAAAACCTGATACTTTATGCCATGCTTACGCTTTGTTTTTAAGTAAATCCTTGATTTCATTTTTAACCTAGTCTAGTGTGAGAGTTATAGTAAGGAAAACACTAGATTCTCAGCACAGATTTTTGTTTTTTGGTCCTCTAAAGATTTTTATTATTCTAACTGTGGCATCTCTTTTCTAGAGTATCTGAAAAGAAAAAATATAATATGTAAGAAGACAACTAAAAATTTTATTACCATCGAGATTGTGTGGTCAGATTCTCCTTATAAATCAGGATTTAAAAAATCTTATTCTTTTCTGATGGCCATGAGTGTAGAAATTAGGGTAAAATGTGCTTACTCTTTTATATTAATTTGCATCAGTGTTGGCTAGAAGTAAATATAGCTTCAGAAATGAATACAGAGTTCAAGAACATATTTTTTATAGTAAAACAGAGGATAGAATACTGATTACATAAGGACACATTAACTTGGACTATTCTATTAATAGTTAAATGAATGCTCTTCTGTCATAAAAAGAATTGTTAATTTTGTCATACTGTTTCCGATTTTTTTTTGATAAAAAATTTAATTTGTCGTGTTTATTGCTGATTATTCTCTCATTTTAAAATCCCAAGCACTGTTATTAGATCCCATTAAAAACCTACCGCAAACTTTAAAAAAATTTTAAATCAGTTACAATGTGTTGAATTTGTTCATTCATTTGTTAGTTTCACCTGTTAAAGAAAAAAAGTCTGATTTTCGATTACTAAGAAATACTGGGCTTTTTGTTTCCTTCCAGATTAGAGATACTAAATCATCAGATCAAAAAACAACCCTTTTGCATTTTCTTGCTGAAATTTGTGAGGAAAAATACCCGGATATCCTGAAATTTCCTGAAGAACTGGAGCATGTAGAAAGTGCAAGCAAAGGTAATTGATTTGTAATTGTTTTCAGGCTCTTTCTTGCCTAAGTATTGTATTTGAAATGGTTGAATTAAGGAACCTGTAAACATTATTAATTGCAAAAGTATTTTTCTGGTTGTTACTGATACAAGAAAAGCAAGAGAATAGTTTCTATTAACTTATATTTGACAGTATGGTGCGTTTTAATTCCCTGCTTGACTCACTTTATATGTGTCATAGTTATTTTTTTAACACTACTAGGTTATTGAAGGTTTTATATCTCTGATCAGATAATGTAAACCCTGATGGCATTGTGGTTAAGAGCTATGGCTGCTACCTAAAAGGTCAGCAGTTCAAATCCACCAGGTTCTCCTTAGAAACTCTATGCGGCAGTTCTACACTGTCCCTTAGGGTAGCTATGAGTCGGAATCCACTAGATGGCAACGGGTTTTTTTTATTTTTTTTTATTTTTTTTTATTTTTAGATCAGATAATATGTTGTTTCGTTTATTTGATGAATGCTTAAGTATTTATTGTTTGCAAAGGAACCATACTGTGGGGCTTTTGGTGATACCAAAATGATTATGAGACAGTTCTTGCTTGAATGTGTTTAAAATCTAGAAGGTGAGGAAACACATATATACACATACTTTATAAAACAAGGATGAAGGCGGGAAGTGCTAGAAGAAAAGATAATGTGCTGTAGTTCAGACGAGGCAGAAATTTGCTTTTTCTGTATAGGTAAGAGAAACCTTCCTGAAGAGGCTGGAAGTGTGAAACTTGAGGATATGATTTTTACAGACAGGGAAAAAGAGGCAGGATTTCCAGAGGAAAAATAGCATGAGCAAAACACAGAGGCAGAATATTTTAGGACAGGTGATGGGACTAGTTGACTATAAGGCTGGAGCAGTAAGGTGGACTCTCAGAGACACTTCAGTATCATGCTAAGGAGTCTGGTCTTGATGGAATAGATAGCCAGGCATCACTGAAGGGAGAGAAAGGGCAGGATTTGGCACCTTAAGGAAGAGGAGAATGGGGTATAAACAGGTCTCCAAAGTTTTAACTTGGGGTAATTAGCTTTGTCAGGAAGTTAGCAAGTCTTGCCTACTCATGTAAGAGGTTGGAAAATGAAAGGAAGGGAGAATCAAGGAAACATTTTCTGAAGGTGAGATTATATATGTATGTGGAGAAGTACCTTTTTCCTTCTACATAATAATAGCTTGCCATAAATCATATGTATGAAATTGCATTGAAGTAATACCATTTCCCTATAACTCTGAGGACTTTAATAAGTACTCAAAAGCATATATATTTCCCAAGTTTATTTACAATCCATATAAACCTGTTAATGTCCTTTGAAGGAAAGAAAAAGTGTTTCTATAAAACCCAGAATATTGTTTTTGTAACGTGGTGCAATGGTTATCTCTGCTGGTCTCGTATTTTCACCCAAACCCTCAAAATATTTCAGTTTCATCCAATTTGTCTTGTTTTGTGTTCCAAGGACCAGAAAAAGACTAGGAGATAAACTATGACTACACAGTACAATTTATTGTCTTTTCTCTTTTTTTAAGAAAACTTTTAGAATATGATAGGAGATTATGCTCAGTATAACTGTAATAGCAGCTTTCTGGCAATTGCTTTTCTAAAGATCGTCTATATCTTGACACTTTTATTTTAAAATACACCTTTGTGATTAGAGGCGTAATTATTAACATGTAACTAATGGCGACATTTAGAAAATTTGTGCTGTAATTTGAAACGTGAAATGTTATAGGACCAATTCTGAAATTAGGGTCATTTCAGTGCTATTAGTACTTTTTTTATTGTCCTGAACCAGAATTTTTTTTAACTTTTATGCTTGTTCAATATGTAGATCCAATTTCAAAAAGATTTGGAAGAATATGTTCAAATAAACTCTTCTGTCAATTTTACAGTGAGAGTTTTAAATCTTGTATGGAGGATACTTTAAATGACCATATGTTGTTAAATATATAATTTTTTAGTAAAAATTGTTTGGAATGACTGCAATGAAGTATGCAATTAAGCTTATATCAGCTTTGATTTTTTTTAAGTCAAAATACCTGTACACACTCATACAGGTAATAGACATTAAAACACATCGTACACTTTTAGCCACCATAGCTACTGATGAAGGTAGACTGTGCAACTCAGCCTTTTAACTTAGATATTTTGAAGTTCAGCTTTACTACTTGCAAGCTGCATAACATTGAGCTAGTAACTGAAATGTCCAAGTTTTTGTTTCTTGATCTTTAAAATGGGAATGAGAGTAACACTAAAATTAAATGAGTTAGCATCCATAAAGCATCCAGTAAAATGCTTGGCACATAGTAAGTAAGTAGCTGCCACTATCACCAGTACCACAGCAGTTGTTGTCGAGTCAGCTCACCCTGGATGGTGTAAACGGTTATGTGCTCAGCTGCTAACTGAATGGTTAGCAGTTAGAGTCTACCCAGAGGCACCTCGGAAGAAAGGCCTGGCAGTCTACTTCCAAAAATCAGCCATTGAAAACCCTATAGAGCACAGGTCTACTCTGACACACGTGAGGTTGCTGCTACTGTACAACTATCTTTACTATAATTATAGTAATAATTGATATACTACATATACTACTGTTAATATCATAGTTTTTACTGTTCTTAGAAGGAAGTTATCATAAGGACACCACAGAGTTCCTGCAGTCTCAGCTATGAATATATTATCTTCAGTTCTGTTTGTTTGTTTTCTATATCTGGACTTTTGGGAAACCCTTTCATATTTTTCTTTTACAATATCACTAACTTCTTTCTCCCTATCCATCTCAAAAGCAAAGTCCCTCTGTTATATTTTTATTATCTCTGCTTTTGAGTATTCTTTCTGCCAGTGCATTCAAAAGCCTGTTGCCAAAAATTCCCTTCCTGTATCACTGTCTGGGCCGCAGAAATCCCTATTCTCAAGTTATTTTGGCTGCCATATTTTTATGCAAATTAATAGTGCCTTCTATGTTTGTTTGCCAACTGCACCCTCCCCCCACCCAAGGTATTTTATAGCAACATGTAAAAAACAACTTGGCATAGTGGCAATTATGAAAATATCTCCCTGGGGGAGGGTGTGGTTGGCAAACAGAGAAGGCACATGTTAATTCCATAAAAATACGATAGTTCTTTTTCTTTTCCTATAAAATTCAGACTTAGAGTTCTCAGCTCAAAAAAGTTCTTAAGCACATTCCACCTGCTTGCAATCCCTCTTTCATTTCCTCCTAGTTCTCATTGCACTGTGCCCAGACATATTTTCTCTTGAGCCGTTTTTATTCCTTTCTAATACTCCTGTCTGTGTGTAAGATTTAGTGCTGTATCTCATGTCTGAAGTCTCACCTGTCTTGTCCTCTAAGATAACTACCTATCATTTGTCAAATCACTTCAGAATCCATTTTTTTTAAATGTTTTGTTACTATATCCTTAGGAGAAATACTTTTCAATTTAGTTTGAAGGGAGAAATAAAACATGGTGAAAGGTCAAGCCAATTACCTCTTATTTATAGTTGAACACTTTCTATTGGTTATTTGAATCTAACTTGTTTTATTAGGTGAATATACATTTCAGTCCTGTTTGAATTCCATTCTGCCCCTCCGTTACTGTGTTTAGCATGTATATTCACAGTCAACCAGTGAATATAAAAATAGGTCAACATTATATAATTCATTTTATTGGATGATGTACTGTCTCTTGTGAAATGATCGCCTTCTCTTCAAAAATAAACAAAAAGTACCTTTCTTTTTTAAATTGGAGGGCTATAGGTAAGATGAAACTAAATTCAGTTTATAATTAGACTGAATTATAGAACTTACATTTAAAGAACAATTGCATGACTACCAATACCTTTTTCTATGTTTTTGTGTTGTTAGAACCTAAGTACCTACTTTGATAGAGTAAGGGTCTTTTCTGTCTGGTATAGCAAATAAATTTATTTTAGCTCATTAGTAAAGTCACAGGCATCACAATTACTGACAAACATAAAGAAAAAACAACCTTATGGAAAAATTTATTTTATAATTACTTTTATTCCTTTTATTTAGAGCTCAGCTCCTAAAATCGTGTGCATCTTGGCAGATGCGAAGCTATGGTATAAACTTAGCACGTATTCCTAGAGCTTTATAACTCAAAGATATTGCGGGAAAACACATCATTTTTACATTAAAACAGATACATATTATGGAGTAGAATGCAAAATTCCCATGAATTTTTAAAATAAAATAGATGTCTTCAAAGAAATTTCATAGTTTCAGCAGATCCCTAGGGGCGTGCGTTCAGTCTTCTCTTCCATTAGGAGTGCTTTGGTGGGAAAAGTTGATGAAGCATTGCCTAAAGAATTATAGAATGTTTTTCTTTTTTTGGAGGATGGGATTGGTTTATTATTTTAGTTCGTTAGGTAGATAGTTATTGCAGGGAGAAGTGGAGGCAAGCAGACAGGGTGAGGGAGGAGATTGCATAACTTTCTTCTGAACAGATATATGCTCATAGTACTTATGTAGTTCAGAATTAAATAGTACAGTGTAATTTTATTGCCAGTAAAATTATAAAGTAATATTACCCTGGTAATTTTATTCTATGTGAAATTGTAAATCTCCAGGTCCTCTCATTCATGTCTGACATGACAGTGAGTCTCAAAAGAGAACAGTGGTTTCTATAGAGACTCGGAATGCCTTTAAAACATTGAAAATACTCTTGATAACCCCAATTACTTCCTCTCCCATGATTAATTTGAAAACCACACACACATTGTATAAAGCATTGCTGGTTTACTAGACATGTTTGATAGATACTTATCCTGCCCCCCCCCTCCACCCGTGGCTAACACTTTAATACTCAGCTTTGAGGATTTTTACAGTTTGATTTAAAACTTCTAGTGTTTTATAGGTCGGTTGCTGGGATTAAATGAAAAGGATTAGTAAAGTTTAATTAAAACCATTTCATCGAATAGGGAAAAAATGGTATTAATGTATTTGAAGGCACTATTAATCCTAAAATATTT